CAGAAGTCAGGGAGTTGCTACAGCTGAACAACTTGCAGGTTACACCGCAGCAGAGGGGCTGGGAGCCTAGCTGCAACACAACCTAACAAAGCATCACCGATTTAATTGACTGATGATTTAATAAAATGCTCTGGATATAGATTAACTTTCTTTGCTTAATGTAGCTTAGCTTCCTGGCAGCAGGAACTGGCCCAGTGCTGTTCCTGGGTTGGGAGCTGGGCGGCCCAGGGGCTGCACCCACCGCTGCTCCAAGGCTACCCACACTCCAGAGCCGACCCCCTGGCCATGCCACGTCTCTTCCCCAAATTTATCCCTTTATCCTTCCCACAATAATGAAGCTAAACAAAAAGTTAAGGTATAGACTAGCCTATACACACACACACACACACATAAAAAATAAGCTTAAGCCTTTTTCATGCTATATTATGTCCTTTACCCAGCTCTGCCAGCCCAGTCTTACTCCAGAGATGAACGCCTAGCCAAATATCCTGTCTCAGGACTAAGTTTCTTCTTTTGCACCATTTCAATCCCATAATTGTCAAAAAAAAAAAAAAAATTCACGGGTGACTTAGTTCCTACCCAAAGCCTGGAAATAGACGAAGCAGTGTAGGGTTAATAAAAGCAGAACCATTGCCTGTGGCTAGCAGAGGAAGGCAGCAATCTCTTTCAAATGTGCACATATGGTTTCCCTGCTCCCATCTCTTCACCCATTAGTAGATATAAAAAAAAAAAAAACACAAAACTCAAATCACAGCATCTATCACTCTACAGTCCATATGCCCAATTTCAAATAAAGAAAGATACTGTAGAAGTTGGAAAAACAGAGAGTAAAAGGATTATTAGCTAGCCCTAATTATACAAACTGATCTCATCTTCTTGTCATAAGCCTCCTTCCTGCGTCCGGAATTTATTTGTGCAATATAAAGACCAGCCTTTTGTAAATGTCCAAGGGTCATCAACACAGGATGATTAATTTCCCATTTTACAATACACACATACTGTCAACCAATTCACTTGTAATAAGATATAACCCTGCCCTCACTTGTCACTCTTTTCCTTTAAAATATTACTAACGGCAAACAATATTTAAGATACCGATTTGTAAAATCCAAACAACATTTCAAAAGGAGCTATCATGCTGCTATAATAAAATAAAAATCACAGACCACATCTTCAGTTCAAGTAGCTACATCCTAATAAAGTTAAGAGCTAACAGTCGACTTGAATTAAAGTGCAGCATGTACGCAAAAGCACACGTATGTTTATACTCAAATTAAGTCCTCCAACAGGTTCTGAGGCAGCTGTTTCATGTGTGCATCTCAGGCTCAAATATTAACTTACAGAAATCCTTAGCAGACATTCTAGACGCCTTTTCAAATGAGTAAAATTCAGTTTATACCTTCCAATATGCTTTGTCATTTGAATACACATTTTGGCAGTAAATTGTGGGGAAGCTCTCAATGCTAACCAGCTCATGTTTGTAAAAGTGATTAATGACTTTGGGTGCTTAACTAGAAACTTCTTGAAAAGCCCCAATTTTAAGAGGACAAGTAAAACCAGAATTTTCTGCAGACGTGAGGTCCATCCAAAGGGTATCAAGCTAGGCAGCCAAAGCATCACAAAAGTTGTTAGTTACCTTTGAAAACAGAAATGCATTCTATGGGACCAACAGTGCCTCCGGATGCTCAGCACCAGGGGAAGAACAGGATTTGGGGAATATTTCACCCCAATGTATAAAAGGATAAACAAGACAGATAGCTGTCATCAGCATCAAAATGCCTGCAGCCTTACATACGCAGTGGGAGAGGGCGAACCCTCTAACCATTGATTCCAACCCTTGATTACAGCATGTGTCCTAAAAACAGCCTCTTCCACCTTACCCTTCTCCCGACAGTCAGGGCTGTGTTGTCTGAGGAACTATGTTTCTTCTGCTGAAACCACAGTTGCTCAACAATACCCCACAAGCCCCAGAGCTGAGATAAGGCCCTGATTCTCTCTGTGCCCCCCAAGTCACAGCACTTGTACTGCATTCCCAAAAACACAGGCTTGGAGTAGAAAAAGATTCATGAGGCTCAAAGCACTATGCACATTTCCATGCTGACAAATATTATTAAATATTTCCTAGCATTTGCAACCCAGTTAGTTATCCAATGCATGTTCTAATAAGCGCATGCACCAACCTTAACTACTAAAGCCACAGGTAGGAATGGAAAAACTGGCATCAAGACCAAGATCCAAGAGACACCTCCACTCTCATTTTGGTCAGAGCATCTTCAGTGCCCAATGTTTTAATGTGCTTTTCCTCTTTGAAGAAAACATCAAACTCACTTTTCCCTTTAGGGTCCCTTTTGCAAACACTCCCACTTTGCAGCTCTAGACATCGCAGGCGTACTCAGGGAAAGCCTGGTTGTCACTTTTTTCCAGAAGAGGAACTCTTCATCAGAAACTTCAGGCTTCCTACAGAAGAACCTGTGCTAACCCCGCTCCCTGTGGCACAGCACAACCACACCTGCCACTGCAAAATTAAGAATTATTGTTTCTTAAGTGCTCCTTTTCCTTCAACTCACAGAACTATGGGAAAACATTTTCCTCTAACAAATACTTCAGGTAGTCACAGAACATGATTGTTTTACTGGATCATCCCTTCTGAAGCATGAAAGCCTCGAAAAATGCACATCATTCACCTAGCAAGTGCAACGATGGAGGCATTTGGCACTGCATCCCCACAGAGGAAAAATTAGAGCTGCAGCTCTGTTCCCAGGACACTGTATTACACTACACATCTAGGGAATGCCCCACAGAAAGTAAAACCCCAAGCAACAGAAAGTATTATATCTCTGTATCAGACATGAGACAACACTCAATCAAATCTGATATTTAAATTAAAGCATTAAATAATAAAAATCCAGATAAGCACAGTTTCTACCCAATTCTACTACCCCATCTTCTGTGTTTGAGCATTTCTGCAGCTAGTTCATACTCAGAAAAGCAAACTTTGAAAACAGACACCCTACTTTGCACCTGAAATCATTTCTTCCAACTGCCTTTACAAAGTGGCCTTTCAGAGTGGTCCCTCAGGAATCGAACGGGTTAAGTGCCCACAGGTCCCAGCCTCTCCAGTAAATCATTTATTACCCCAGCTCAGGGACAAGCAGCTATGCAGAACCGAGAGCCCACGCTGTGCAGCTGTTCACCAGCCAGGCAACTCTCTGCAATTATGTTATAACACAGGATTAAGCTTGGGGAGTGGAAATATATCCCTTTAGTATCAGGGTTTGCTTTTGTTGGGTTTTTTATTTGTTTGGAGGGGGGTTGTGTTTTTGTGGTTTGGGGGCTTTTGGGGGTTGGGTTTTTTTTGTTTTGTTTTTGTTTTTTAAATTATGCAGATATTTTAAATGTTACAGAGCTCATTAGCATGAAGTTCATTAAGTAGTAACCACTGTATGAATGAAATGAAAAGATTATCATTATAAGCACAATTATGGAAATACTAGACCAGCAGGCAGAAAAAGGAAAGGGTATGAGAATGATGATGCTCCTAAACTCTAGTTTAGCCTTTTTTTTTCCAGATCCTTCAGAAGAGGCACACCCAGAAATGAGATGTGATGCAGAGGCTGGTCCCCAGGCAGGAGGTCAGGTAAGGAGCTCTTGCTGCCTGTGCTGGGCCTCGCCAGAGGTTATGCTGCTGCTGCCATCCAAGAAGTCAACCCCTTGGTCACCCCCAGGAAGGGTCTGGCATCTTCCTCAGCAGAAAGCACTGCTCCTTGCAAACTCACCATGCTCCAGAAATTCACAGCACGTTAAGAAACTATATGAAAAATCAAGCTATGAATTGCTTCTCTTATGTGGCAACTGGTGTCGTGCATTCCTCCTTGAAACATGGCCCCACACATTTGGCTAACGAGCATTGATATTCATTATGAGTTTGGAGACCAGCTCTCAGCCAGCCACTTATTCATCCCTGATAAAGCAGATTTCATTCATAATTTTGCCAAAGACTTATTTTCTTTCTCAAGCTCAGAAAATAGGTATAATTCCCCTGCCCAACCCCACTGAAAAAAAGGAAACCGAAATAATTACAATAAATACTTGTCTCTCTACAGTAACAGCAGTTTATGATTAATCCACCCAGCTGTTGCTACAGCTCAGTAACGCCAAATGATTTGGACCCAGTATCGTTAAAGTGCTGGGCTTCTCGGGCAAGATCATGGAAAATGTGAGACACTGCAGAAGGTAAACAGGTTAGAGACAGTAGGAGGAGAAAAAAAGGCAGTTTGCAGTGGTTTTCCTCCCTCCCTTGACAGAGCTCAAACACGGCAAGTGCCCATTTCCGAGCAAGACTCTCGCAGTTTCTTTGCTTCAGGCTAACAGTTTTTGCAAATTCAGGTCTTTTTGGAGAGAATGGGTGTAACTCCATGAGTCAGAACAGCTACTGTCAGTACTACAATAACCATCTATTTGCTTTTAGGTCAGATCCATCCCCCGATTTGGTTCACCACACCAAGAAGCTGGTGTTAATAGAAAAACAAACCCAGACGCCTCAATGCTCCAGGACAGACAGACGGCCATCGTGCCAACCGGGAGGCACATCTGACCAGCAGCCAGCGGGACTCAAGCCCATGGACCTGAGCTCTGATCCTGACTGGCTCCCATGGAAATCCTCAGGCTGTAACCGTGTGCCTGCCCTGGGGACGTGAAAAATGTACATTAAAATAATAGGAAAAAACAGCTGATGCTCTAAGCATTAAGTGCTATTTTACACCATGGCATATGGTTGATGCAAGGGGTGAGACCACACATATCTTTTATTTTTTGCTTCCTCCACAAAGAAATTGTATTTTATGGCAAAATAACTTGTCAAATTTGCCTGTAACGTGTGCTTTGGTATCAGCATCTCCTCCTGCTGTCAAGCAGCTAAGCTGGGTAAATCCATTCCGCCCAAGCCCCTTGCCTCAACCGTCACCTGTAGCTGAAAGAGCTGCCAAAACATTTAACCTTACTTTAACTGCATGAAGCAGTACAGGTGGCTCCAAGATGTCCTTCAGGTCGTTCCCACACTGAACAGGGAAGAGCAGGGCAGGACACGATGCTCAGCTCCTGGAAGAGAGGGAAGACAACAGCGTCACAAGGTGCAAGGGACAACAGGGCTGCTGGGGGTCTCAACATCCAAGCTGGCATCACACCACCTTCACCAAGAGGGATGGAAACCATCCTCTACCTTGCTAGCCCTACAGGAGGCACCTGTTGCCTCCTGTGATAGTCTCATGTGGTGACCCACCCCAGGCTTCCATAAGCATACACGGGGCAATGACCAAAGTGTAGGGCTTCATATAGACCCACATGGGCACCTGGCACCATCTGAGAACAATTGTGCTGCTGAGTTGTATTTCCTACTGTCCTGATATTTGGTTTATCCCCAGAGCTGTTGATCTGCTTTCCATCACTCTATCCCAAACCTCTAAGTTGGCCTTAAGTCCTTTACAGCCATCTTAAACACAACCCCTCCAGGTCACACTTCATCAAACTATCTGTGAACTTCCTTATGGAAAGGTATTTTAAAAGAAACAAAAGCACCAAAAGTAGATGATGGCACGTGATGGCCAGCAGATGAAGCCCAAATATACCAGCAAGTCTCTGCCAAACCCTTCTGGGTTGCCTGCACTTCTCCAGGCTGATTTTCTGCTCAGAGTAAAAATCTACTCAGTCTACTAAACACACCTGGAAAGAGCAGTTAAAGTAGATTAAATGTCAAAAGGAGAAAAAGGCCAAGTTGGTCTTTACCTTTTTTAATATTGTGTGGGAGATTTTATTAGCTAAATCAAAGTCATCAGGGCACCTTAGGCCATCATTTGGTTACCACACCAGGAAAGGTTGTGGTTACGCACACATCACTGAACGCAAGCACGACACACCAACTGCCTCCTCCTGTTTTACCAGACACAGGAGACTCTGCCCCTGCGCCCTCCCCATTGGGAAAGCATCCATAATCAGGGAATCTCACAGCCTGAGCCAACCTGCCGAGTTCAAAGTGCAATTACAAGCACAGAAATCACAATGGCAAAACTAGTTACCAGCTGGGAAATCAATTGTATTGTGTGAATTAGCTAGGGAACGTACAACACTGGAAGATAATGGATTGCACAACAAATCTCACTCATTCATCTACACTAGAACAGCATCACCTGAACACCTCCATGTCAGTTTTACACAACAACTTCTTAAGACTTATTGCTAAAAGTCTCTTTTATCCATTCTGCTGCTGACTTCCTGATGAGAAATGGGGAGAGTATTTTGCATGGCACTACAGCATACTGCATGCTAAAAAGCACTTTACTACAAATATATATATTTAAACAGACCAAAATGGAAAAAAGAAAAAAGCTTGCCCTCTTGTTCCTCTTAAAGCATCAGGACTGTGCATGAATTTCTGCACTGCGGCATCAGACATTTCTGACTTATGTTCTTATGGCAAACTACTGAAGCTGAAAGAGGAGTTCCCTGAACTCTTAAATCCCTGTCAAAAGCACACAAACCCTCTTTGAATTCATTAACCAGTAAAAACCATCCTTGCAGTCACAAACAAACAGACTGGAACTTCCCTCTGGCATTCCTGTAGCATTACTTTCAGGACCACATTTTAAAAGATCGTTACTGTTTGATAAAGCAATGATTAACTATGTTAAGCAAGCAACATTAACCCAAGGCTCCTACCAGCCATCCCATGTTGATCTCCAAGTAACAACTCTCTCCAAGGCATATACTACAATAATACAGTGTTTTCATTCATTTGTGAGACACTGATAACTTGGCTTTTAATACCATGCTTGTAATATTTTGGCAGAGAAAGCAGGGTTTACTGCTATTCCTTTGAACTGACAAGCAATATAAGCATAGCTAACACTACTAAAGTAGATCATGAGTATGCTGTGAATCACTGCAGGTTTTTCATCCTATCCACTAAGGAATGAGGGTGTGTGTGTGGAGAGACACATGCAAAGCTCACTTAGATGCTCATGACTTGGAAAGTATTAGTAAGTTAAGAAAATCAACTGGCCTAGCAATAAAAATCAGTAATATAGATAATAAAATTCTTCCTCCATTTTTTTTTGTTTGCTTTCATTCTGTATTAATTTTTAGATTGCTGCAGGAAGAAGCAAAGTATATTAAAAAGTCTTAGATACATATTTTAGTTCCACATGTAAATAGCCTGCACAATCAATAAGGCTGTCCACATCAAAGAATCAATTCCCCAAAGAACTGATTTCTGCTTCCTGTGAAACTGCTATGGGATAACTCCCACATGCCTCAGCATACCCATTTCAGAAGGATTTCCCCATGCCTACTTCTTCTTCTCTTCCTTTGCTGGGAAATCATTACCAAGTGTAGATGAACACTGACGTAGCTCCTCTTTCCTGAACCTTAAAAAGATGGTTTTAAAAATTATGTTTCATGGGTCAGCTCAGACTGCTTTACAAATAAAAAACTACTCTGTATCATCACAGGAAGATGATGACATACAGGATCTTTATAAGGAAAGTTGTGAAAAGCAATCAGGTTTCTATACTGCTCTGCCAACATTCCCACGTTCTGACCTGTAACTCTGGACAATTTCTGCCCAAAAGGGCCTAGTCATGATAGTCACAATATCACACAGTGCTTAACTAAAGTAAATGAGAATGCAAAGGTGAGTCCTTTTGACACTTGCCTTTACACACATATTCTGCTTGGATTTAATAAAAATAGGGGAAAAACCCCATCTTGTTCGCTAGGACAGGATTACTTGATGGCAGATTGCTCATGGTCATGCTCCCTACATACCGAGCCAGCTAAAGCAGAAATTACCCATGCCACTGATGAACTACTGAAACTTGTTTAGGGAAGAGAGAGGGAAAGAAAGTTTCAGGACAGCATTACAGATACCTACACATTTAAAAAGACAAGATAACTGGCCCTGCGGATTATATATGTAATTCCTGTAACAAGTAAATTCTTTTCTCAAAAAAGAGCCCAATGGCTTAGAGGTGATCTGCATGTCCTATCTCCTTTACAGGCAGAGGAGCCAAGTATCAAAAGGTACTCTCTCTACATTTTTAAATTAAATGAATGGCAGTGACTAACACAGTGCAAAAAGGAGTTATCCTGTGTTGACAATCTATTTAGGAGCAATCAGTTAGGGCCCTCAAACACAAATGCTTGGTAGAGCCCCAACACTTGGACCTCATGGTTTCCAGTTGCTCTGCTGGTTCCTCCCCAGTGAACAGCCACCCTTCCCAAACACTGCTCGGCACAGAGGAAACCACTCCTCAAACTTGCTCTTTTTTCCCCCTGAACACAAACTCATTTTATTTTTCTGAGAAGTGTTGCATGTTTTGTTGCTCTGCCAGCTGATCACTTTAACACATCAAGTTATATCACCATCTGGTTGTAATTGCCATCATGAAGCTTTCAACAAATTCAAAAAACAGCACCCAGATCAGGGCACTAATGGTCTAGGAGATGAACTGCTGATTATTTGATACAGCTGGAACCTTTTGATGTCCAAAACACCCAAACACAGCCAATCCCACAACCACAACACCCAAACAAACCTCTGGAGTATTTCCGAGTTTTAGCTGTTGGCCCTATAAAACCTCCTCACAGTTTTGTATCAAATGATGTCAAGAAAAACACTGCTTCTCCTCCTCATCTCCCAAACTGCTGGGTGTACAACTGCATGCTGCTGTTATCTTCTGCTTTTAATACACAGCCTATACTTATATACCATGATATTCTCATTCGAGTACATCTTTTTCCTGCTTCTACTGCATCTCCCAAGAGAAACTGGCTCACAAGACCTTTTCAGAAGTTTGTCCCATCATCTGAACCATATTTCCTAATTCCTTAGGGAAGGGGGCCTAGATACACTCTGCTCAGACAAGGCATTTCCCACAGTCACATGCTACGAAGCCACGGTCAGAGCAGCAACTTCTTCCCTTGGTTGACCTCAAGGGAAAGTCAAGCAGGTCCACACCAGGGCTAGAAAAAAGCAACAGCATCCAAGTTGCTACAGCACTCAGTGAGACAAATCCCTAGACACATGTTGGCAATATAAACATAGGAATAAAAAATTATTTCCCTAAAATTTGCTTTGCTTTGGACAAGTGTAAATGCAGCATGGATCCACTAACCACTGCATCACACTACATTCTTACCAGCAGAGCAGAGGGCAGATTGCAGCTCATCACATTTTATGACACACACATACACACACACACAAGGTTCCTCTAAAAGTAAGTGATGGGGTTTTGTCAGAGGGCAGCATCTGACTTGGCACACTGGATGAAGAAAAGACAAGAATTTTAAAACAACAGAAAGTAAAACTTATCCATATTTCACACGATTGTACACATCACAGAGCAAGCAATAACATTATGTTAACTGGAGTCCCATTAATCCTGATTACCAAAAGATGGGAGACAGAAATTCTTTCATATACACTAAGTTAACTTTTGAAATTTAAATTCTTTTGACGGTGTTGCCTTGAACTTGTAAACAGAAATATTCCCATGTCATTGGGAAAGGGAAGCAAGAAAGCACCCAATCAAGAGTGCTTCCCTGCTCACTCTAGCCCCAGACAAACACCAATTTTCTGTCTAGAACTTGCAGATCTACACAGAACTGAAAGAAGTTTTGGGTTTGCTTTTTACTTCTACCAGAGATTGCAAGTAGCGAAACAAAGAGACGGGGGAGGCTTTATGCCTCTCTGCCTTGCCTCTTAACAGCAACCTGATCTCCACAAACTTCTCTTGCACAATAACCCCCAGGAATCTGTTTCTCCAGGAGAAGACAAGGTGCCATGAGGACTCTGCAAGCAGTGACACCCCCCTGGCCTCTGAGAGCAGAGTCCTGCACAAGTGCTCTTGAAAGACATACAACTGGAATTTTGAAGGCTGCAACCTGAAGGAAAAAAAAAAATGAAAAGAATAATAATATTTTTGTGACTCATTACAGTTTTACTAATGATAAAACCAGGACTTGGTCCAGAAATGCGATCTTCCTTAAACCGAAGCACGTCACAGCATTCATTCTTAATACCAACTGCTTCTTTCCAGCCTTGT